ATAAAATTTACCATCATGACATTTTTAGGTGTATAGTTCAGTGGCATTATAGAAATTCAAAACGTATGCAACCATCACCACCATCTATCGCCACAGCTCTTTTCATCTCACAAAACTAAAACTTTGTACTCATTAAACAATAAATCCCCATTCTCCCTTCCCTCAGCCCCTGCAAAACACTATTCTATTTTCTGTCTTTATGAGTTTGACTCCTCTATCTCATGTAAATGGAATCATATGGTATTTGTCTTTTTGTGATTGTCTTACTTCATTTAGCACAATGTCTAAGGGTTTATCCATGTTGTAGCATATGTGAGAATTTCCTTCCTTGTTAAGGTGAATAATATTCCACTGTATGTATATACCACATCTTGCTTATCCATTTATTTGTTGATGTACATTCTGGAGTACTTTTACATTTTAGCTATTGTGAATAATACTGCTATGAACATAGGTACAAAATCTCTCTTTAAGACCCTAGTTTCAGGGGTGCCTGGGTGGCTCAGTCATTAAGCATCTGCCTTTGGCTCAGGTCATGATCCCAGTGTCCTGGGATCGAGCCCCGCATCGGGCTCCCTGCTCAGGGGGAAGCCTGCTTCTCCCTCTCCCCACTTGTGTTCCCTCTCTCGCTGTGTCGCTCTTGTCAAATAATAAAAATCTTTTAAAAATAAATATCTTTAAAAAAAAAAAGACAGTAGTTTCAATCCTTTTGGGTGTAAACTCAGAAATGGAATTGCTGGGTCATATGGTAATCCTATTTTTAATTTTTTGGGTAACTACCATACCATTTTCCATAGCAGCTCTCATTCTATATTCCCATCAACAGTGCACAAGAGTTTCAATTTCTCCACATCCTCACCAACACTTATTATTTTTATTTATTCATTTATTTTTGATGGTAGCTATCCTAATGGGTATAAGTTAATACTGGCCTCATAAAATTAGTGGGAGAGTGTTCTTTCCTCTTCTATTTCTGGAAGAGTTTGTATAGAATTGCTATTATTTTTTCCTTAAATACTTGTAGAACTGGCCAGCGAAGCTATCAGAGTTGTCCTATGGGAAAGTTTTCAGATTGTCTATTACTTAAGTTTTGGTAGTCTTTTAAGAAATTTGTCCATTTCATCTAAGTTATCAAATTTATTGACATAAATTGCTAATATTCCCTATTAGCATTTTAATTTCTGTAGAACATACAGTGATGTTCTCTTTTTCATTCTTAATATTAACATTTGTATCTTCTGTTTTTTGCTGACAAGTCTTCTAGAGGTTTGTCAATTTCATCTTTCCAATACCAGCTTCTGGCTTTACGGACTTTTTTTATTTTTGTTTCAAACTTTATTTCTGCCCTGCACTATTTCCTACTAATTTCTGCTTCTTTGGGGCTTAATTTGCTCCTCTGTTTTTTAGTTTCTTAAGGTGGAAGCTGAGATCATTGATTTCAGGTATTTTTTGTTTCTTTTCTAATCTAAGTATTTTTAATGCTATGCATTTCCCTCTAAGCACTGCTTTAGCTTAGTCCCATATATTTTGCCATTCCATTCAAAATAATTTTTAATTTCCCTATGCCTTTGCTTTGGCTCATGGGTTTAGAGGTGTGTTAATTTCCAAATATTTGGAAATTATCCAGATATTGCTATCAATTTCTCATTTAATTCATTTGTGACCAGGGAAATAACACTTCTTTAAATTTGTTGAGGTTCATTTTATGGTCCAGAATGTCTAACTTTGTGAATTTTTCATATATACTTGAAAAAGAATGTGTATTCTGCTGTTGTTGCATGGAGTATCCTCTCGAAGTCAATTTAATCAAGTTGGTTGGTAGGGCTGTTTAGGTTTTCTACATCCCTATTCATCTTCTACTAGTTCTATGGGTTACTGAAGGAGGACTATTGACATCTCCAACTGAAATTGTATATTTGTCTATTTCACCTTTTGGTCCTTTCAGTTTTTGTGTTAGGTGTTTTCACATTTATGACTGTTACGTGTTCTTGATGAATTTACCCCTTATTCATTATGCAATGCTCTTCATCTATCCTAGTAATATTTCTTGTTCTGACATCTACTTTGTCCGGTATTAGTATAGCCACCTCATCTCTCTTTTCATTAGTGTTTTGGATAGTATATGTTATCTCCTTTTACTTTTAATGTATTTATGTCTTTATATTTAACTTGGATTCAAAAAATGTTGAGCAATTCCCTTCATCTTTTTTTTTCCATTTCTCACATGAATTAAGCAACACCTATATCAAAGTGATATAGGAGAACTAGATAAAAGGAGATAAAGTAAAAGCATTTTGTAAATCAAACAATGGTACATACACATATATATCATTATATACAAGTATACATGTATCATAAACTAATCCATGGTGCCCAAAGTCTAATGGCTTACTTTTATCCATCAGTGCTAATTTCCTACATTTTCAAATTTACTAGTTTTATTTTAATGAAACAGAATAAACAAATTTACCTTTCCTTTTCTGAAGTCAAAAACCCTTGTTTTGTTTTTTCTTTCTTTCTTTTTTTTTTTTTTTAAGATTTTATTTATTTATTTGACAGACAAGAGAAGGAACACAAGCAGGGGAGAGGGAGAAGGAGAAGCAGGCTTCCCGCTGAGCAGGGAGCCCGATGCGGGGCTTGATCTCAGGACCCTGGGATCATGACCTGAGCCGAAGGCAGATGCTTAATGACTGAGCCACCCAGGTGCCCCCAAAAACCCTTGTTTAAAACCCTCATCATCCAGGGGCGGCTGGGTGGTTCAGTCGGTCAGGCATCTGCCTTCAGCTCAGGTCATGATCTTGGGGTCCTGGGGTTGAGCCCAGCAATGGGCTCCCTGCTCAGCAGGGAACCTGCTTCTCACTGTCTCTCTCTGTGTGTGCATGCTCTAATAAGTAAAATCTTAAAAAAAAATAATAAAACCCTCATCATCCAATATCAATTTTATGAGCAAATTCTTAAATACTTGTTATGTGTTAAATTAAAATTCTTGATCCCTTTAATAAAGTGAGAAAATAATCAGTTGTGGCTAAGACCTACACTAACATTGCAAGATTATTTCATTTGAAACAAAGAAAAAATAAAAATGTTAAAGAAAACGAGTACTCTCAAAGAAACACTATAAATATCCAGGATTTCTATCACAATTGAAAGGCATAACTTTCCAGGAAGATTCTTTTCTCTTAAAAAAAGAAACAAAAAAACAGGGCCTCTGGGTGGTGCAGTCGGTTAAGTGTCTGCCTTCAGCTCAGGTCATGATCCCAGGGTCCTGGGATCAAGTCCCGCATCAGGTCCCTGCTCTTCTCCCTCTCCCTCCGCCTGCTGCTCCCCCTGCTTGTGCTCTCTGTCAAATAAATAAATAAATAGAGAAAACAGGTCATAAATGTCCTGGGGTGGAGGAACATATAATAAACAGTTTTATTCCCCAGTGTCCAAAATGATGAAGTGAAATAATGGATATAAATGATATATATAAATTGTCAATAGTACATGCTCAACAAATGTCTATTATGATTGTTGCAATTACTCAGCTACTACAGTGTGTTAAATAATGTATGTTGAACTGAAATAGTGAGTGAGACCAAGGACAACTAATTCTTTAAAGCCAATTTCAGGAAACTGAAACATCTGCATGTAAACTCTACAAGTGTTTACAATACTAAAATGAAAAACTGAAAATAAATGAAAAAGTTCCTGGAATCTCTCAGAGGCTTTCAATTAGATAGCATCAATCAAATGGCTACTTTTTCCAACAAAGACCTATATGGGGACAAGCTACCAACTTTTAGCAAACATCTTCCACTCACTTAAAAGGTCAAGATCAATCAGCTATTTATACATCCTTTAGACACAAGGCATCACATACTATGTGTAGTCATGGTAGGCTTACCAAAAAACTAGTCATATTCTGGCAAAGCATGTTGTATGATAAACAGACCATAAACAGAAACTATCACTGGCACTTGGGCAAAATCCAGCTGGGTTTCTTTATCCCTGATCCCGGTTTCAGCTGCAGGTTTTTTCCAGAAAGAACAGTAGCTTGATTTACTCAACACTCTGCTAAAGTCAGGGTGTGGTCATCCTTCTCTAAATAATATTACAAATGGATTTTCCTGAACTCTTGTAGCAACAGGATCTTAAAGTGGTTACTGGTAAGAAAAGGTGAGATTAAGGTCAAAATGCACATCTATACAAAAGTAATAAATTAGTTTTCAAGGACCACCTAGAAACAATGGAGGCAGGGTATTATGGAGACCAAAATAAAGAGTTAATACAACAAAGCCCACTAATACTTTTCAAGCTTTCAACATGGGGCCACAGTAACAGTTGAAGAGTATGTTTTTGCCGGCTTTCCTGTTAAGTAAGGACAATTTCATCCCGAATTGTTACAATACACTATTAACTGCCCCCACATACAAATCAACCAGTTTCCTTCTTGGTCATCAGAACAGGTCTAAACGTCAGAGTGAATTCAGAAAAATCAACTAAATCTCTCCTTCACCTGTTCTAAAACACTACCAACTAGGGATTCAGAAAGTAAGACGCAGCAGCTTTTTCTAAGGCAGGGACAAATAGGAATGTGTTTAATCAATGATCGCATTCCTTCCCTCTGGCTAGCCCAGAGAATAAAAATCAACCTCTGTTCTGCGGGTGTGCACCCAGCTCCTACCTTGTGCTCGCATTCCCCCAGACATCCCAGCTGCTTTGAAATGAGCAACTGTACGGAGAAGCCCTTTGCGCCGCCTGAAGCTCGTCGCAGTGTTAGGAGACCACTACGTGCCAAGGACGACGCTTACCACTCCACGCTACCTTTTCATTACCTTTGAAGCACCTTCTGTCCCTGGCAAGGAAACTGAGTCCCAGGCTCACACAGGCAGGGCGGCCAATCCACCAGGAGGGCCCACTCCAGGGCCCTGGCATAAACCACCGTGGAACTTTCATCTCGCTCAGTGCACCCGTTTTCCTGAGGGCAAGGGTATGGCTTAGGTGCCCTAAATACTCACTAGGCAGGTAGTGCTTGTGACGTGAGCTTTCTTTTCTTCTTGGCCACTCGCAGGTCGCAAGCCCTCTAGAAGAGTGGGGAAACTGAGGCGCGGGTAAAGTGATTTGCCATTGGTCACAGAGCCCGTAATAGGCAGAGAGAGGGCTAGAAGGCTGATCTTTGCGATCCTCAACGTCCGTTTGTAACACGGCCCAGAGTCCCTACCTGGGTTACCTGGCCCTAGGCTCCCGCTGACTTTCACGGGAAAGGGCCTAGGGCCGGGGCGCTCCCCACCTGGATCGTTTTCCCGTCAGCAGCCTCCGTCGACCGGAGAGAGCTGCGGCCCGCCCGGCGGCCCCACCCGCCGCCAGCTGCACGGCACCGCGCCAGGCATGTGTTGCCTGTCCGCAGGCACTCCCTCCTCCGCCTTCACCCCTCTACCACCTTCCGCCCTCGCCCCAACCCAGCCGAGCGCCCGCGCGCGCCTGCCCACGGCCCGTGGGCCCGAGGGCCGACTGCTCACGTGGGCCTCCACGTGGCCCCGCCGCCACCAATGGCAAAACAGGGCCTCCCGTTTGCCACGCCCCTCGGTGCCCCGCCCCCTGGAGGGAAAGCTGGACTCGGGGCTGGCCCGTGCACCTCCCCGCTGCGCCGGCTGTGCCTGCTTTGCCGCGTGCTGTGTATGCGCGTGGGCAAGGTCGGGGGTTGGGGGGTGTCGTCGAAACGCGGTTGAGGCAGCTGAAGCCACAAGCTCTAGGGGGAGGCGGGGGCGTCGGGGAAGGCCTAGATGGGGAAAGGGCCGTTTCCCAGGAAAAGGAAGGAAATGGGTATCACCTGCTGCACACACTGCCCTTTCGGGGGAAGTCAGAAAGAACGGCTCCAGGTTTTCCCATTTTATGGTTAAATCACTCGAACCCCCGCAAACTCCGTCACGTCAGGAACATCAGCAATTACTTCGCAGTAGCTGCACACGGAGCAGTAATGATCATCTCTTGAGCACTGCCGGGGGCCAAGTCTGTGATCTTCCAGGAGGAATAGCCGGCTCATAGAGCTCATCTCATCCGAGGGCCCCCACCTGGCCCGTGGCCTTCTCTATCGGCTAGTCCGGGGCCCGCTTCGAACTTCAGTGGCACTTAGACTTCTGTCATTAACTTAATTCAATTACAGGTATCCTCGGGCAGCTTTCTCGTGGATGGTTTTATGAAGAAAAAATAGGACTATATCTAGACCACGTTGCTATGTCCGAAACCGACATACGTACCTAGGTCAGCTGTGTATATTCTTATGTCACAGGTCCCTCAATTAAGCCACATGCCCCTTAAGAACACGAAGTATTTTTGTTGTTTTTAACACTGCTTAGAAGCTGTCATGATGGCCTATGGTAACATGGGAAATTGCTGATACGGGACTTAGCCGAACATATGTCCCCCATTTGTCATATTTGGCAGCATATAGTTGTGCTTGATTATGAATTCCCATGCACAGTACTTTTAGGTTGTTACCTGGGTGCAAATATCATGGGGAAATAGCTCCAGATCTGCTATTCTACCTCCAAACTTCATTTTCTTCTTAATACAGAATTGCTACTCCTGTTTCTCTTTCTCTCATCTCTTAGGGTGAGTAGTTTCACTGAAGATTTTTGTCAGACAGTTGTAAGAAAGGGAGAAGGATTAAGGAACAATGAGAACTGAACCGATAAAAAAACCTTTACTGATTTGAGATCTTAATGTTCTGGTTCCTCTTTGGCACCCTCTCCTCCTAAGATTTTAGAACTCATTGACTGTTCGCCGAATGCTTTTAATCGCATCTTTCTTCATAATGTTTCCTGCATTTGGATTTGTATAGCCTGAGTTGAAATTTTGGCGGAATGGAAGCACTGGAAATAGGGTGTGTGGGGAGACAGTGTCGTGTGTTAAGGAGGATAAGAAAATTCTGGTGAGGGGAGATAAGTAGAGCTTAGAGAAAGAATGAAGACAAAAAAAATAGACTGGGTGGCAGATCTAGCAGATTCTTCTATCCTCTAATAGTAATGATATTCTTGGGCATGAAGATTTGTACATTGTTTATGATGACAAAAAAACATTACCATTTCCTCATCTGAGGAGTCCTGCGAGTTCTGGCAATAAAGCTGGAAGGACATAAGGAGGGTTTGATAGTTTAGTACAAGAAAGATAATCTGGGACAAGAAAGATAATCTGGGATCCAGTAGATCTCAGTGCATATTGTTTTAGTGTCTCCACACTACCCCCCAAGTTGAAAATCAAAGACTATGGGGAAGGAGTAACTGGGTAAGGTACACAGGTCTCTGCCTGAATCTGGATGCTGTTGCTGAAATTCCTGGGGCCATACAGCCTGTAAGGGCTCAAATGCTATGTCTAACTTCAGCCCACAGATTGGAAGGCACCAGATAATTTACTGAATGCTGAGCTCCTTAAGGAGCTCCTTGTACACCTACCATGGATCTTCTATGGACTGTCCCTCACCAAGTAATGATCACAGATTTAGTTCGGGGGGGGGGGGTGTCCTTGTGGCAACTTGTAATCCTCCTAAAATGAAGTTTTTTAGAATACTTGCTGAAGAAATTGTGTATTTCAAAATTATAAAGCCCCCTGTTTGAAGACTTTTAAAAACACACCAAAAATCTGTTTCAGTTTGTTTCAGGGGTCTCGTCTTGCAACGGATTCAACACAACGTTCATAGAGTTGGCTAGATTATTTTGTCAAATCTTAGTTCCAGGATTCCTGCCCCAAGTCCCTTTGAAGCCCTAGTGTCTCCTGCTCGCTGTAAAAGATAATAACAGCTGTGGAAACTGATTTCCCATCCCATGAGCCTGACAAAGAGGAGGTGGAGGAAGGGGAGTGTAGCTTGTAACAGGAACATATGATCTCTCAAAAGCAGAGTTCATATGATGATTGATTAGGGAGATGTCACGAGTTACCCAGTCCACAGCTGAGGTTACACACAGGCTAACAATAGCCCAGGAGAGAACAATTGGAGAATTCATTAGTTGTGTTCCCCTCCCACCCCTACCTTCCAGGCTTAACGTAGGCTCTGCCCTGATGAGAAGCAAACTTTTGGAACTAGACAGGACTTTTGGAGTTCATGGCTCATTCTTCTCACTTGGCATGTGTGCAAACTGGTTAAGCATGTCAATAGGTGATTTGGCCAACACCACATAGCTAGTTAGAGTAGCAGAGCTAGGATTAGAATAGCTCTCTCTCTTTAGAGACAATTAGTTTTCCCATTTGTCCCCAAAATGGTCATCAATTTCCTCCCACCTCACCCATGGATGTGCATGACACGACATCTGTCAGCAAGTGGAGTCTCTTTCCACCCCTTGACTTGGTTTGTGACTTCATTTAGCCAATATTTTGCAGGGGAAGTAACATTGTAAGACTTCCCAGTTCAGGCCCTAAAAGGTCTAGCAGCTTCTACTTCCTGCTGTGGGAAGCCAGCCTCCATGCTTTAAAGAAGCCGGGATTGACTACTGAGTGATGAGCCATAGCACATGGACAGAGAGGACATGTGGAAGGGCAACAGACCTGAGAGAAGCCTCCTTGGACTTTCCAGCCCAGCCCAGCCACAAGCTGAACACAGCTGAATGAGTTACCCCCACCTAGTCACATGGAGCAGAAGATTTGTCCGACTGAACTCTACTCCTGACCCAGAGAATCATGAGAAATAGACAACTGAATGACTCCTACATCCTTTGCCTTATTTTGTTCACTTGATTATCATAATTAAGAAATCGGGACATTAGACCATAGTTAGGTCTCCGAAGTCTTAGGAACCTGATCAACCAACACTTCCATGTATCTTATCAAGACAACGTGGTTTTCTGCTTTAAATTAACTCAGACACTAAGGCTATAAATTAGTTTATTAATTTGCTAATCAACCAACACTGCCCCAGTTATATTAACTTAATACTTAACTATGACAACATTTTCTTCAATTTTAATGTTCTGGGGGCGCCTGGGTGGCTCAGTCATTAAGCGTCTGCCTTCAGCTCAGGTCATGATCCCAGGGTCCCGGGATCGAGCCCCACATCGGGCTCCCTGCTCGGCCGAGAGCCTGCTTCTTCCTCTCCCACTTCCCCTGCTTGTGTTCCCTCTCTCACTATGTCTCTCTCTGTCAAATCAATAAATAAAAAATCTTTTAAAAAAAGAAAAAAAAATTTTAATGTTCTGGTTATCTTGTGGTGCATTATAGACTACCGGAAAACTTAGTGGCTTAACATAACACTTCTCCTTTTGCTCACTACTTTGCAATCTGGGCAGAGATCCACGAGGGCAGCCAGTCTCTGCCCTACTCAGCATCAGGTAGGGCTGGCTTGAAGGCCAGTTCTCTCCCATCTGGAGACTGGTGGTGGGAGGAAAACTTGAACAGCTGGAGGCTAGAACAGCTGGGCTTCTCGAGATTATTATCTCCATGGAGCTTCCCACGTGGTCTCCCCAGCTCAGTGGCTTCTGGCTGGCTGGTGCTCTTACCTATCAGTTCAGGGATCCGAAGACACAGTCGCAAGGAAGGGATCCCAGCAGGAGCTGTATCACTTTGCATGACTTAGATTTGGAAGTCAGATAAAGTCCTTTCTGCCCTGCCAATGGCCTACCCATATTCAAGGAAATAGACCACATTTTTTTTTTTTAAGATTTTATTTATTTATTTATTTGACAGAGAGAGAGAGCACAAGTAGGCAGAGCGGCAGGCAGAGGGAAAAGAAGAAGCAGGCTCCCCACTGAGCAGAGAGCCTGATGGGGGGCTCAATCCCAAGACCCTGGGATCATGACCTGAGCTGAAGGCAGATGCCCAACCTACTGAGCCACCCAGGTGCCCAATAGGCCACCTTTTGATGGAGGAGTGCCAACATCACACTTTTAGAAGAGCATATGGGAAGGGCTAGGTTAGTGTTCCCATATTTGGAAAACACAATCTCGCCTCACCCAGCTTCCAAACGCGCATGTGAATTTCATGCTAGGAATAAAATCTAGATAGAAAAACTAATTCCAGGGGTGCCTGGGTGGCTCGGTCGGTTAGGTGTCTGCCTTGGGCTCAGGTCATAATCCCAGGGGCCTGGGATCGAGCCCCGTGTCAGGCTCCCTGCTCGGCGGGGAGTCTGTTTCTCCCTCTGCCTCTGTTCCTCCCCACGGCTCATGCCCTCCCTCTCTCTATCTCAAATAAATAAATAAAATATTTTTAAAAAAAGAAAAAGAAAAAGAAAAACTAATTCTGGGAGCTTTTTTTTTTTTTTTTTAATTTTATTGCTAATTGCAATACTTAAGAAAGTTAATTCATTTTCCTTGTAGATGACTTGGTTTGGGAGCCACAGTTTATCTCCTTTTTTTGCCCAGGGATTTGGATTACAGCTGGGGAGAAGGTCATTCTACTGTTATTGCTGTTTTGTAAACCTGCCCCTTCTTTAAAAAAAAAAGATTCACTGCTTATAGTTGAAACAAGTAGGGTATTCATAGGAAGGTTGAGACATTATGAATTTAATCTACCTCTGGCAACCACATATTTTTAAAAAATTTGTATGCTCTGTATGGATGAATACTAATAATTTACATTTCTACATGCACATCCATGCAGACACACACACCACAGTCAGTATCTTTTATTCCCGAGGGATTTCTAGCTTCTCAACCCAGCTCACCTGGTATTTTTTTTTTCTTTTTGATCTGGCAGTGCCACACCAAAGGGATGTAG